CTGGACGAGAGCATACTCACATATCGCGAGCACGTGTGCCGTTGATATGTTTTGATATTGTTGAGCTTCATTTGCACGATAGAGTCTTGCGACAGTTTGGGTTTGAGCAGGTCGCTCCACGGCCTATCGACACTTATGTTGAGCTGCATAGGCTGGATAGGCGTGGGAAGCATACAGAGGATTGGGCACTCAGACATGTCAGATATGTGACTATGTGGGAAAGGAGAGCTGAGCTAGTTGTTGCTGGGACACCGACATATGTGCCATCTGTTTCAGGAGACTACATGGGATGGTATTATAGCATCACTCGTTTGTTTGTGTCTTCTTCGTTTAGACTCCCTACTCATCATTATCAACCTAGCTCCTTGGCTTTGCATCTTACGGTGAGTATATTAGTAATTAGTAAAGTAAGTCATTTTATTTATGTAATATTTGTATGCATTTCAGTGTAAATGTAATTGTGTTTCATATTTCAGACACGAGCTTTGCAGCGCATAATTCAGCGGGCTACTGCCACAGTGACTGATAGTCATGATGTGGACATGTATGGACAGGCTCTGACAGGCATTGCGTCCTTGTGTTCAGATGTGTTGGGGCGAGTCGACTACGGCCATCTTATACACATGCCCCCATCTCAGGAGATGCCATTCACGTCTAGTGCAGCGGCGGCTTCATCATCCCAGACGCAGCATGAGAGAGGCGTAGGCGTAGACATGAGCAGCAACATCTCCAGGACGAAGCTGACGATGGGAACTTGTAGTTTGTGTTTTGTATTGTAGATGTTGTAGGAACAATTTACAACATTTGACGTATTTTCTCTTGTAAAGTCTTGTATGTTGTCTTGATGTGTTCGAGTATGAATATTAGATGATTACTTGTTATGAATATTGGATGATTGTACTGTGTTATACCGGTTTTGTATTTGATTTGTAAAGGGTATTTTCAAGGTGTTTTTTATGTTGATGAGAGTAGGTGTTATGTATGTGATTGTGAAGACGTGTGTTGTATGTTTTATAATGTGTTGTATCTGGCTCGCAACAATTAAACAGGAGAAGAGAGACCTTATTTATAGCAAACAGATGAGTCCGGGTTAAACTGGGGCGAAAAACGTGCTGAAATGCTGTTTTCGGACCTATGCACGATCGTCTTGAAGATGATTAGATAATGTGGATGGAATATGGCCTGAGGCATGCAATTTGACAACTCATTTATCTGGTCAAAAGTGAGAGACAAGAGAAATATCCATGACATTTGCAAGACCAGACCGGATCAAAACCGGTTTGGACAGGAGCCGGAATCGCTAAACGAATAAGACCGAAGACAGGGCTGCACTATTCCAATTTTTACGAGACCAAACTGGTATTAGACTGGAGCTTTGTTTTGCAAGTTAATATTTTTTTTAATGTGAAATGATGATTTATTTAATTAAATAATTGCATGAATTCAAACTTGAACGATTACATAATTTTTTATCAACTCGACATATACCCAAAAGTTCTAACAAATCTGCCCCATGTAGGACTTATTTGTCACAATTGATTTTATTAACAAAAAGGATATAGCCATGATCCATTTATGTAATTTCTTTTGTGCATTTGGAGAGCATTTTTTGCTCCTTCGATGTTGCAGCACAAATAATTACGTCTGATTCATAAGCACGCACGAGAAAGTTGCGGCTCTTTCAATTGGAAATGAACAAGGAGCTTTCAGTTTTCAATAGGTATCCAGTATCCTACTCCTGGGAGAAGCAGAATCATTGCCACTGATTGCCATGCGAAAAGTGAAAAGCCAAATTCAAACAAGAACTAAAAATCATTCATTCGGATTTTGGAAGAAGCAGTAGAAATTCCAAAAAAAATGAACAGAGAAAAATCATGAACGAAGGAAGGAGCCGAGGAGGAGATGAGAGATTAAGGGGAGAAGGCGACTGACCGCTTAGGAACTCGCTGCTCTGCTTATAAACTAAAATTCCGGTTAGATTTTGCTGAGCAGGCTTGAACCAGCAGGATGCCCATTTTCTCCTGCTCCTCGATCATCAATGCTTTTCCATTGCTGCCAACGTGAAATTGCGAGATAGATCATAGATTCCTGTAATAACAGCCCTATTTTAGGGTTATTTTTAATTGCCATTGCTATGTAATTATTCACCTGGAATTAGTTATTACTCTGTAATAATTGTCATACCTTAAATAAATCTTGACTTCTAGTGTGTTTATTTTGGTTTATGTAATCCGTCTCATTTGACTAAACTACGTTGTATGGAACTATGGACTATAGACTTATGGAGAGTAATATTAACACGTGCCTAAAACAGTAATACATTTAAAGTAGATGTAATTACTATAATCACATTTCATTTTGAACTATAATAACGATGAGAACTTTAAGGATTCAAATGGATACTTTTATTATGTCGAATTCATTATTTGAGTTTCTATACTAAAAACAACTATCATATAACTATATAAGTATGCAAACAACCTCCTTTATGTTTCATTGTTTCATGCATTATCACTTAAACACCTGCACTAATAATAACTCCAAGTACACTTTATGACAAAAACATTGAGGTTTTTTAGCATGTTTTTTTTAAGGAACGTGTATTTTCCGATGCAATAGTCCTTAATATGACCAGATTTATTAGTTACACGACTACATCTACATGTGACTAAAGTTATAGGTAGGACTAATAGCATATACAATTGAAAAGTACGAGTACAGAACAACAAACATCGTTTGCTTTTGGAAGTACGAAAACATCTATGATATTGTCGAAATCTTGTTGGAAAACTCATCTCATGTCAGAGATTCTTTATTTTCACACGAAAAAAGATTACTAGTATTAATAAAAATTACAGTTTAGCCAAAACATGTGTTGGTGAACGATTTATAGGAGACTATTGTACCTGATTTACATTATGAGTGGACAAGGTCTAGGTCCCGAGACTTTAATTTGCAATAAACAGAACTATCCAGAGTTAGATCTGTTTTAATTTGCAATAAACAGAACTATCCAGAGTTAGATCATTTTTTGATTTACTAAGTTCGACTTTCGGTGGACGAGTCTTTAATATGAACAAACTTATTAATTACCCGATCAGACTCGTGATTGAATAAATTACAACGTTAAAAGGAGATACAATAAAAAGTTATGGAAGTATATCTATAATTTTATCTAAATGTATATTAAAAGTTACTTAGGGAGGAAAGTGGGAGTACATTTTATAATGCAGGGATGTCAGTGATAATACATCACAAATCAAGAGAGCTTAATGGCCATTTTTCCTTTTGAAAATATAATCAATCTGTCAGTTGGCTAAGATGAGAACTCAGAGAAGTAGAATCATTTAGGTACATACCGAACATAAAATGATTCAGAATGATACCATGAGAGGGAAATTTAGGAGTTTATAATAATATAGTTAATCCCTTAAATAAGACCTAAACGTTAGTAAAGTGCATAAATAGGACTACCATTGTTTCATTTTTTGAATAAGTACCACAAATACTACTCCCTCCGTCCCAATATAAAAGACACATTTTCCGTTTTGGACCGTCCCAATATAAAATGCACATTTCCCTTTTTGGCAAACAAAGCAGTGCAAAACAGCGTCAAACAGTGTCCGAACAGTGCGAAACAGTGTCCAAACAGTGTCTAAACAGTACCAAACAATGTTTATCCTAAAAATGTTTGAAAACGCAAATGTGCTCTTACCTTTATATTGAGAGTATTTGGGACGGAGGGAGTATATTATTAGTGGTTTAGTGTTTAGACAATAGAGATTTTTTATAAATGTCTTGAAATATTATTGTTATTATGATGCATGTTAGTTTAGAAAGAAAAAAGTTTTACATTTTTTGAAGATTAAGCCTGTTTTAATTTTTCACCCCTAGCCTAGGCCTTCAACATGACCGGTCCTATCGATCCACTCCGTTGTCATCTCTAGTCCTATCTCATTTTACTAAATTACGGTGTATGATATTGTAAAAATGTGACTACAATTATATACTTCGTTCGTATATACTACGTATATATTATACTGTAATCATATTTTATTTTAAACTATAACAACAAATGACAGCATAGTCATAATAGTCATAGTCATATTTTCTAGAGAAAGGGTTCCAATGGATACTTTTACTACGGAGTATATCAACTTCATGATTTAAGTTTATATACTTCGTACTAAAAAAATGTCATAATAAGTATACTTATATGAAATGTAAAAAAATACATAAGGAGTATTCGTTTAGAAATACAGAAATAGAAATATAAAACTAGTCAAATTGTCGTAATTGATAAATAATTTAAGATCTATTAAAATGAAGAATGAGAAATCAAAATGATTAAATAAATAAAACGAAAATGTCAAAATATAAAATTGAAAGTATAATTTTACAAAAAAGTGTAATACTCCCTCCGTTTCAGTTTGTTTGACATAGTTTGATTTGTCAACATTTAAGGAAAACATTTACTAAGGGGTAAATTTTACTGTTTGGGCACTGTTTGGACACTGTTTGAACACTGTTTGACACTGTTTGGCACTGTTTTGTTTACCAAATGGGAAGTGTGTCATTCATTTTGAAACGTCCAAAAAAGGAAAATGTGTCAAACAAACCGAAACGGAGGGTGTATATACAAATAACTCATAAAACACAAAAACTATACTACTCTGTCCCATTTCTTTGCTATTTATTGCGTTATTCCTATTCCTATGTCACACCATATTGTAGCAAATATTTCGATAAAAAGAAAGTGTGTAAATAGTTTTTCATGCTTGACTAAACGAAACTACAAGAAATAATATGAGTTGCATAAAATACAATTAAAATACTGTAGTGTGAATGCATTAAAGCTGAGCACAAAAAATCTACGTTCTGAGTCAGCAACGCCCAAATTTCTGCCTATATAAGCAGAGCAATGCGTAAGGGATCAGTCAGGTTTTAAGCTCTCCTCTTCTCCAACCCCTCCCTACGTTCTGTAGGTGCTGTGTGGATCGTTCATGATTCTTCTCTTTCTTTCTTCTCTTCACACATATCTCTTTGAATATTTCTTGGTGATTTGATTTAGAATGGATGATTTTTTACAGTGGGTTGAATTTGAGCTTTCATACGACAACATTTTTCTTCTTTTTCACATTTGAGTCGGATGTTTTGGGCCTTTTGGCAGACTGAATTAAACGTTCATTGATTCTATTGCTATTCCGTGCTAATTGTTTTGATTCTATTCAACTATACGACCTAGAACTACATCTATGAACAATCTAAAGAATAAGCACTATCATTTTAGGAAGAACTCAAGTTCAGGAGAAAACTTCATTCCAAGCATGCTAGATCGTATGCCTCCTTTCTTCGAGCTTTTCATCTGGATGAAATTCAAGTTCGAACAAGCAACTGGTCTGAAGATTCTCCTCGGAAGATCTCTTGTTCGGGTAAGAATGCTGGCTTTGGTGAAAACGCACAAGGCAAGGCCCATTTGAAGGACCAAGATGACTTGATGGTGGTTATTAGTATCAATGGTAGGGGCCAGAATCAATTCAAGTTTTGCAATCCATCAGGTGCTTTGATTGATTGGTTTTCAATATTCTTTTTACATCGCTTTTGAATTAATCATATTTTTCCCATGCATATGCATGTATATATACATTCATACAATAACTCTTTAAAATCACGATATATTAAATGACAGGAATTCTAGTCGTTATGAATAAGCTTGAGAAGACCTCAAACACCACCACCATGTGCTGCCTAATAAGAGGAACCACTACTAAGGAGCACAATAGAGGAAAGGGTGGTTCGAAAGTGCCCGTTGCAATAGAAAGGTGTCCTCAAAGAAACATGGGGAGACCTCAAAAACTACCACAATGTGCTGCCTAATAAGAGACACCACCAGTAAGGGGCACAATATATAGAGGAAAAGGTGGTTCAAAAATGCCCGTTGCATTACAAAGGTGTCCGTCAAAGAACCATGAGAAACTAGGTGCTCAAAATATGAGATCGGATCCCAAATGTGGATCCCGTATATGGCTTGATCCTATGAAGCTGTTGTGGGTTACATGCATGCTTAAAGAGCCATTGCAGCTACCCTTGGATCTAGTTTAATTTGCTTCTTCAAGAATGTGGAGGAATATGCCCTTAGGGATGCAAATTGAAATGAATTAGTCTATTGTTGAGCGATTGAAATGCCAATGACTGTATCTATACTAAAATTCGATTGTGAATGCCAATCCGTTAAGGGACTATTTGAAGAACTACTTTTATTTACTATATGTACCGATAGATTCTTTCCTTTTTTAAGTTAGTTTTTTTTTTCTATTTTTCTTTATTAATTGTTTCTATGTTAAATTACATGAAACTAAAAATAAAAAGTTATCCAAAAAAAATTCCCATATAAAGTTAAGAGTGTTAGGATTGTAGTGGACCTAGAGGTCTAGTGTCTATGGCACAATAATGTGGATGCAGCGCAATAAAGTTAGGAACTTTGAATCCACAGACAAATAGAATAGTAATAATCATATATCTTGATAGTAATTGTGAGTTGAACACTACTAATGATTAGTTCTATGGTGTAATGCTATTACTAATAAGAGGTCCCGATCTAATTGCAATTACCTCTTTTGGCTTGTTTTGGCATATTCTTATTTCTGGTTATGTATACGGATTCAAGACGTTTTTGTTGGTTAGATCAGACCATTGTCTCGAACAACCTTAGGCTTTCGTGAATAGGGGGGCTAGAAATGTAGTATTCAATAAATTCATATTTAGCGACTTATTTGCTATATTTAGATCGATGTTTTTATTTGGATTATAATTTAATTTTATATTCTAGTTCTGATCTTATCAATTTAATTCTGAACCATAACTATTACAGAGTATATACTTGCAGCCTGGTTCAATGTGATTTGAAATTAAAACAATCCCAAATGTACATATAATAGTTATCAATGTCAACACATTCACACTCTGAAGTATATAATAGAATATGATAATTTGTTACTCCCTGCGTTGTTGTGCGTATTACCTAGATGATAACATAAGCACATGATAACAGGGGCAGAGCCAGGGGGTGGGGGGGTTAGTAGACCCCTTGATAGTTTGAGAATAAAGGGCATTGTAATATCTTCGATATGATATATTACATCTCTCGTAACTCATTATGAATAAAAAAATTATGACCTTGGCTGTTGAATGTTGGCGTTGCCTTAAGTGGTGTTGCTACTTCTTGTATATGGTTTAATTTTATAACTATAAATGACTAGTTTTATTCTAGTACTCGATCATTTATAGTTATAAAATAAAATCACACATGAGAAGTATAAAGAATACCCATATTCTGTAGGTGGTGTGGGAGGTCGTTCATGATTCTTCTGTTTCTTTCTTCTTTTCATTCATGACATATCTCTTTGAATATTTATTGATGATTTGATTTAGAATGGATGCTTTTTTACAGTGGGTTGAATTTGATTTTTCATACTGTTGGAGGTATTGGTCCTACCAAGGCCTCCCTTCCACTTTATTATTGACTTGCACCCCATGTTTACTCCCACTTTGGCACCTCTTTATTTGAATCTCTCCTAACCAATAATATGGTCATTTTGACTTATGTGGAGTGACCCCTTTGAGCTGTCCTATGCTGCCCTCCTTGTCTTTGCATCACATGTGAGTGTCCTTGTGTCTACCAGCCTATTATTTAGTAGCTTTGCTTCTCCCTTGTTGAGGCAGCCTGCGTGAATTATAGAGAGAGCAGTGCCCTTCTTCTTCTTCTCCATTTCCTTTGTGTGAGAGTGTGAGAGAGAATACCTTAGTGGTAGAGAAGAAGCTTGGAGTTGTGTTGTGGTCTAGCCTAGGGTGGTGTGTGAGAGTATAGCAAAAGGGTTGGAGACCTGAGCCGGAAAGAAATCGACACCCAACAGTGGTATCAGAGCCTGGTTGCCGTCCGCCGCCGCCCGCCGCCGTCCGCCGCCGCCCGCCGCTATCCGCCGTCGGCCGCCGTCCACCGCCGATTCAAGGTCTGGGAAGTCGTGACCGTCGATTCAACGTCCATGGAGGTGTCCTGGAGCATTGCCGCTGCCTGAACCTCCACTTGCCGTCGCAGGTACATAGCTCGCCCAAAGTCGCCGGGCTTGAGCTGGATCTGGACGGGAGCTACCGAAGCTGGAGCTTGAAGCTATCTCCCTGAACGCTGCTACAAAAATCGCTGGAGCAGAGGCAGACTCCTGGACGAAGCTGGTGGGGAAATAGGAGCCCATCCCGTTCGTAGAGCTGAATCCGCCATTGACGCTGGAAGCTCGCCGCATCAGAAATTTGCTCGCCGGAATCAGCCACCGACGTCGCCGGAGATAGGCGCTTGTCTTCACCAGTAAACGCCATCCACCGTCCGTCTGGAACTCGTCACCGGAGGTTGATTGGGGCTGGATACTTCAGAATTGACTGGAGAATCTCCGCCGGAGCCATTGCCGAGCCGCCGTCGCCATCCGCGCTGGAATCTGCAGTAGGAACCACCATCGCCGGGAAGCTCTCGTCGTCTGCCATCCCTTCGTCGTTGCTACTGTTCATCTGCGCTGGGCGAGCTGGACGCTGTAGCTGGACGCTGTAGCTTGAACGTTGAAGACGCTACAGGTGAATCTCTCGCGCAGAGGCACAGTTGGTATCGTTGGTCGCAGAAAGCCTGGAAAATTGAGACTTGAAGCTTAAGGCTGCAGTGCTGGACGAGATTGACTAGAAGCAGGAGCTGGACCTGGACTGGTTTTGGGCTGGACTGCTAGAATTGGGCTGGACGGATGCTAAAGCTGTTGAAGCCTGTAGGCTTGAGGCAAATTATAAGGAGCTGTACGCTTGAGGATTTGGAGTAGCGACAGGTCGCAGAAGCTGATTCCAAAGGCTGGTCAAACCTGGTCAACGGGCAGTCAAGCAAGTCAACAGTCCAAAAATCCCAATTTTAATTGGGTGGGTAAGGTCGAAACGCCTCTCCTAGGGTTTCGCTCTGGTATATTGACTTTTATCCCTTTATCGCTTTTGTAGTGATTTAGTCTTTTATTGTGTAGAAATCTGTTTTAGGTTTAGAAAACTGCTTTTAAAATTGATTGAATTGTTGTATTGTTCTGTGCTGAAAATTTATTATTTATTTGTGCTTATACGGAAGAACAAGGGGTTTGAACTTGAGTTTGGTGCTCATTAATACTCCCCACGTGTTCGTGCTAGTTGCTCCGTATAGTTGTAGCCTTATAAATATTTAATTTGTTCTCAGCGAAATTTACATTTTTCTTTTGTTGCTTATTTTTCTCTGTGAAAATGTCTGCTTATAATCAGTATGGTATGGCTCCATTTCATGGAAAATCTGATTTTAGCATTTGGAAGCAAAAAATTAAATGTATTTTAATACAACAAAAATGTTTTAAAGCAGTTGGCGAAACCTATTTAATTTCTGACACAGAAGAGAAAAGGGCTGAAATGAATGAAAATGCATGTTCTGTGATTTATTTGAACTTATCTGACTCTGTGATTAGAAAAGTTGGAATTTTAGAGAGTGCTAAAATTCTGTGGGATAAATTGAATGAACTGTATACTGAGACCTCTTTGCCTAACCGGATATTTTTACTTGAGAAATTCTTCAAATTTAGACTAGATATGTCTATAGATATTGAAGAAAATCTAGATGTTTTTACCAAACTTATTTCGGATATTAAGTTGTGTGGTGATAAGCATATAGATGATTATTCCCCTATTGCTCTTTTAAATGCTATTCCTGATTCCTTTAGTGATGTGAAATCTGCTATTAAGTATGGTAGAGATAATGTGACTCTTGACATTGTGGTAAATGGTCTTAAGAGTAAGGAATTAGATTTAAAACAGATGGGTAAGGGTAGAAAATCCGAGGAAGTTATGCATGTGAGGGGTAGAGAAAATAATAGTAGACGACATAGATCTAAGTCTAGGTCTAATTCGAGACGTTGCTATAATTGTCATGAACCTGGTCATTTCATAAGAGACTGTCCTAAATCTAGGAAAAATGAGCATAGTGAGCATGCTAATTTGACTACGTGTGAAGATGATTTAGGTGATGTTTTTATGACAAATCTATGTGATTATGACTACTTGAGTTCTGTGATATCTGATTCTTTGGATAAATCAGATTGGGTGGTAGATTCTGGTTGTACTTTTCATATGTCCCCTTTGAAAAATGTTTTTACAAACTATAGAGAGATTGAGCATGGCTTTGTGTCTTTAGCAAATGAGAAGGAATGCAATGTGCTAGGAATAGGAGATGTATGCCTTAGGTTTTCTTCTGGTTATGTGCTTACTTTGAAGAATGTTAGGCATGTTCCTGAGCTGTGTTGTAATTTGCTATCTTGTGCTTCTCTTGAAAATGAGGGTTTGAAGGGAAAATGGGGAAAGGGAATCATGAAAGTTGTGAAGGGTTGTTTAGTTGTTTTCAAAGCTGAGATGAAAAACAACTTGTATGTTTGTCATGCTGAACCCGTACTTGATTCTGTGAATTGTGTGCAACCCTGTGTGCTAGGAAAACAGTCTAGAGTTGGTTTTCCTGATCTGCCTAAGTGTACTAATGTGCTTGATTGTATTCATGCTGACTTGTGGGGTCCTTATAGTGTTTCCACTCATGGTGGGAAAAATTATTTTCTGACGTTGATTGATGATTTTTCAAAGAAAGTGTGGGTTTTGTTGATTGAGAATAAATCTGAAGTTTTTGATAAGTTTAAAAACTGGAAAACCCTTGTTGAAAAACAAACCGGTAAGAAAATTAATTTTTTAAGGACCACTGTCAGTTTTGATTTCTGTGATAGTCAGCTTGGTGATTTATGTGATACTTGGGGTATTTCTATGCATAAATCTGTTCCCTCCACACCCCAACCGGATGGGGTTGCTGAGAGGATGGTTAGAACTTTATTAGAGAGGGTGAGGGCTATGTTAGCTTCATCTGGGCTCTCTAATAAGTTCTGGGGGGAAGCTATTTGTTATGCTGTTGATTTGGTTAATCTGTCCCCGTCTGTTCCCTTAGGAGGAAAATGCCCTGAATCTGTGTTCATGGGCAAACCGCTTGACTTGCCAAATTTGAGAGTGTTTGGTTGTGCTGCTTATGTGAATCGTGTGAATGATAAATCTGAACCTAGGACTAAGGAATATGTTTTCTTAGGATTTCATGATTGCATGAAAGGTTATAGGCTTTGGTGTAGGAGTGAAACTTGCTTCAATGTGTTGATGAGTAGAAATGTCATTTTTGTTGAAAATGAATTTCCTTGCCTGCTTGTTTCTCCTGATGTTGCTCCAAATGAGGTGGAGCATTTGCCTGTTGAAGTTCATTCCGATTTACTTGTTGAAACCAAACCCAAATTTGTGAATGAAAATGTTTTTCATGGTGAAAATAAAGTAAATAATATTTCTATTAAGGTGGAGCATGATATGAATGTTGTGTGCAATATGCTTGAGTTGCGTGATTGCCCTGTTATTAGAGATAGAGACATTAGGGAGCATGAGAGAAATAATATGTCCAATGTGTTTGACTATATTTTCTCCGAGTTTGCTTTAAATGTGCTTAATTCTCTTTTAATTAAAATCTTTGTGATATTTGGTATGCTATTTTCTTTGTGTTTTGAAAATGTGATACCATGTGATTATGTGAGCTCCGCCTGTGCTAGTTATAGAAATACTATTGTTTCTTTTATTTTCTGTGTACTTGCTTTGTGTGGTTGTTGGATTAGTTGGAATCCCCAACTTCTCCTGGATGCTTGCTTGCGTGGTCTATTAACATGTGTTGTGCTTGTTAATAGTTTTGTGATGGTTTTGGTTTCTGAACTCGAGGACCGATTGGTAGAGTTCAGTCCATCGTAAAGTGGGTTTGCACGGTAAGCTTGGTCCGAAAGGGAACTTTGGTTCTCATCTATTACTTGTATGATCGCAATGATGTACTTGTAATGGTCCGGCGATGATGAGTCTCCTCACAACTTTGTATTGCTACTCTACACCACCTAGGACCAATAAGGTGGAGAATGTTGGAGGTATTGGTCCTACCAAGGCCTCCCTTCCACTTTATTATTGACTTGCACCCCATGTTTACTCCCACTTTGGCACCTCTTTATTTGAATCTCTCCTAACCAATAATATGGTCATTTTGACTTATGTGGAGTGACCCCTTTGAGCTGTCCTATGCTGCCCTCCTTGTCTTTGCATCACATGTGAGTGTCCTTGTGTCTACCAGCCTATTATTTAGTAGCTTTGCTTCTCCCTTGTTGAGGCAGCCTGCGTGAATTATAGAGAGAGCAGTGCCCTTCTTCTTCTTCTCCATTTCCTTTGTGTGAGAGTGTGAGAGAGAATACCTTAGTGGTAGAGAAGAAGCTTGGAGTTGTGTTGTGGTCTAGCCTAGGGTGGTGTGTGAGAGTATAGCAAAAGGGTTGGAGACCTGAGCCGGAAAGAAATCGACACCCAACACATACCACAACATTTTTCTTCTTCACATTTGAGTCAGATGTTTTGGGCCTTTTGGCAGACTGAATTAAACGTTCATTGTTTCTACTGCTATTTCGTGCTAATTCTTTTGATTCTATCCAATTATTCGACCTACTTAAAACGGTGCTTAGAGTTCGAATTGACATATTTAAGTTTTCCACAAACAAATGCTCAAGTGACAATATAAGCAAATATGAGCTTTAATTTCTCAGATAAAACTACAAGATCTCCTATGATATTGTTTAGTAAATTAATTCTTTGACGGACACCTTTGTAATGTAACACGCATTTTCAAACCACAATTTCCTCTATTGTGCCCTCACATGCAAAAGTTGCCTATGGTGATAAGGCTTGTTATCAGCATTCACCGGGTACATATGAGGGCCACCATTTCTCGACAAAACAAATTCTTCTTCTTCTAAGAGGCCTTGGATAGGTGACCCGTCACTATGATTTAATTCCACATCCTGATTTCTAGACTTATCCTCCAGGCCTTCAATAAACCCGGCTTGCAATAAAAGGATAATCTATAGCTCCGATTTGCACGACACAAAGCAGACAACCAGCAAGTAAATGTGACAACTCAATCCTATTAGGAACCAATCATTCAAGAATGTTCCAAGCCATATACGGGAGCCACAATTGGGATCCAATCGTGTATTTCGAGCACCCAGTTTCTCATGGTTCTTTGGCGGACACCTTTGTAATGCAACCGGCTTTTCCAACCACCCTTTCCTCTATTGTGCCCCTTGTTGGTGGTGCCTCATATAATTTAGGTGTTATGGGTCCAGCCCATATAATGTAGGTGTTATGGGTCCAGCCCATACAATGTAGGTGTTATGGGTCCAGCCCATATAATGTAGGTGTTACAGGTTTTTGTTGTTTATGTTTGGGCCTTTTTGATGGATTCTTATCTCCTATTTTTGGGTCCATTTAATTTTTAGCTTTGGGCTTCTAAGACAAATTTTTTGGAGTCCCTTTTGATGAAAAATATCAGGCTGGGAAGGCTGAGGAGATTGAAGGGCACACATACGAAAATTTGACAGCATGCTCGTTTTTCGACCTGCACTGCGCAACTTCATTCAGCTCGTTGATTGGAGGTGTTCCCGTGGTCGGATCTTTCTGAAATTTGGACAGCTTGTTCGTGACTTCAAGGGATTCATTTTGAACGGTCGGAGTGTTCAGCTGAGATCTGGTTTGGTCAGAAACGCTGCATGAACAGACCTGCAGTTTTGGGTGATTTCTACACCTTATTGTGCTATTTTCACTACCAAAAAAAATCGCCAGAGGGTCGGATTTTGGCACGGAGAGCTTCATTGAAATCCCAGACTAGCGCTGTTGGCTCGGATTTGGCACGGAAACGAAATCCGTCCCACCTGGCTCGTGCCAAATGGTTTGGCGCGGCTAATTGCATCCGAGCCAAGGCTTGTCGCGGATTTAGACACGGAATAATCCGGGCTAACCTACCTGATAATTCACAACCATTTTGGCTCGGATTTCAATAGGCACGGATATTGGCTCGTCATCTACCGGGTCACCCGAATTTTTACCCGGGTATTTTGGCACGGAAACTCTCGAGCCAAATTATGACACTGCAATTTAGATATTTTGAGAGGATTCTTGATACGGCTAACTCCGTGCCAAATTTTAATTTATAAAAAAAATGTACACCGTACATATGTACGGGATACCGTACATATGTACGGTGTACATTTTTTTAAAATTAAAATTGTTATAAGCAGCATAACATTAAAACAGAAGCATAGACATACGAACATCACAAGCAATATAGAGCAAATTAAAAGGCATATATAACAAGAAAATGTAAAATTATTACAGCAGTACAGGCAGATAAACCACTGCCGAATAAGATGTCAAAATGGCAAACAAATTGCCAGAAGATGTCCAGAACATGCAATAAAATTAAAAGTGTTTGTTCATTACACAAAGATGTCTTCCAGCCGCACTTCAAGAGTATCATTGAGATTCATTTGGGTAGAGGTCGGGGTACGAAAAGGCGAGAAATCTGGCATCGGGACATTAGGGTTCAAGCTACGGACTTGTTCCATGTACGTCGTAAACACGGAAGTCATCTTCTCCATCTGGCTTTGCCACTGCTTCTCCTGCTGCACAAATCAGGCCTCCAGCTGGTCCTTGATGCGGGAATCTATTTCCTGCTGAGTCGGCCCCGATATTCTGCTGGAGCATTCAACGTCTTCCATCGACTCGGCTTCAGATCCCGTCCCAAACCGCCTGCCTTTGTACAGCGGGACCACCTTACAGAACAGCTCGGAGTCATCCTCATCATAAGACTTCCCTTGTGATTCAGCCAGCGCCTTCATTTCACTATACTTTTGCTGCACAAACAGAAAATTATTGTTAAAATATATTTCTTCTATAATAACATTATAATTAAAACATATAACAAAAGTATAGGTTTCTTTACCTTTGTTTCAACAACACGTGGTGGGGGGTCACCCGACTTCGGGACATACACCTTATCGAACACTTCGATCTTCAACGGAGCCCTATTCAACTGCTTAGTCTACAGATTTATAAGTAAAAAATATGATTAAAAGTAAAAACAATGATCATTGAATTATAATTCAAAATAATAACAGAAACTTACCAGCCTTTCAACATGCTTCGTCACCGGTATCCTGCCACCGCGATACTGTGATTCTTTTCCCGCTTTAGAGTTTCGGTTCTTCTTCCCAACTTGGCTCTTCTTCTTAAAAGCATCAGAGGCCCAATACTCTTGCAACAACTTCCAATCTCCGTCACCAATCCAGTCAGGCTTCTTGTTGTCCCGCCTAGCCCTACCAATGTTCTTGCTCAACCATTCAGAGGCCCGAGACTTGAACTTCTTTTTCATTTTGGTATTAAAGCAGGCATCGCACTCATACTTCCTCTGAATAAACAAAACAAAAAAATGAGCAACATCAGAACTCTCGAACTGTCTACAATCAATCTAAAATGACAGTGCTTACACAATAAGAACCTATAACATACCTGAAACAGTTTCCACCAACGGTTTCGTTGATCAGCATCCGCATTCATAAAAGAACGCCATGGACCGTGGAAATTGTTAGTCAGGATTGAAATGATGTTGTTCAGGACAGTAGGGTTGCTGTATCATAAAACCAAACAAAAATAATGTATATGAAGAAATATTCTATATACAATTACATTAGGCAGTATTACTAAACCTTCTCATTTCAAAGGGTGAAATGAAGGTCTTTGTCTGAACAGAATCATTGGGGGTAGCAGAATCAGAACCATTTGTATGTTCATCAGAAAGGTGTCGGGATTGGACAGACTCATGTGAATCAGCTGGAGGAGAGTTCTGCTCAAGGCGGTTCATGACTGGGCTCCCTCCACCTCCCCGACCTCCGCGGGAGGAGGTAAAGGAACTGAATGAACCTCTACGGACAGACATTCTATTGAAACACATAGCAATTTTATAAAAACAGACTAGTGAAACAGTTAGGCTATAACCAAATGCATACAAAATAGAAGTAAAGATTTAATAATATAAACAGATTGTTATACCTCGTGAAACAGTTGAGCAATTTTATAAAAACTAAAACAGTTAGGCTATAATCAAATGCATACAAAATAGAAGTAAAGATTTAATAATATAAACAGATTGTTATACCTAGTTATATAAGGAAGTAATACACAGATTGTCAAACTGCCAGATTAATTACCAAGTTAAAATTCCACATAATGTATATCAGTTTTACAGCTTTCATAATTATATAATTGGTTTAACATTATTTATGGTTAATTTCAGAGTTTGGCACTCAGAGGTATATAAGAGTTTGGTATTTATATACTTTGTTAATAAAAACGAAGTTTATGATACTGTATGGACAAGATGATTACAATACTTCATAACTACCACCTCGTTTATAATACAAATTTATAATATATATAAATATCACATTCATATTTATTCTACTTCGTTCATAATATTAATTTATAAACACTTCTTTCATATAAATTTATAAATACTTCATAACAGGCGGCCTTCATATTTTTCAGTTTATTATAATAGATCGCTTCTAATTAAAAAAAATATACAAACAAAAAATATATGAACAAAAATATATATTACTTTGTTCGTAATTATAAATACAACTGTTATAATTTCTATTGCTAATAATACTTCGTTTCAAAATTAAAAAAAAAAACTCTTTAATACTATAGAAATCATTTTGTCATAAATTTATATAGATGATAATAATTCATAAATAGTTTATAACAAATCATTTACAAACTATTTTTTTTGAAAATAATGTTTTAAAATAACGACTTTATATTAAACTTAAAATAACAATACGTTTAAATAAAATTTATATGAAAATCCGTAAACAAGGAGTACTTAATGGGACATGACCTGGATGCAGAGCGAAGACGAAGGCCGGTGAGGGAGTAACAAACGTCGTCGTGGCCGGAGATGGCTAGAAACACGACATGCGGGAGGGGGAGGCGGCTTCCTTAGCGCCAAGCGTCGTCGGTGAAAGCGTCGTGCTGGACGGACTATGATGTGGCCGGAGTATGTGGTGGACTGAGTAAGTGGTGAAGCAGAGTCAGTGGTGACCGGACTTCGTGGTGGGAGATGGGGGGTAAGTAAATAGTGGCCGGACTACGTGGTGGAAGTGGAGGGGAAGGAAGGGTAAGTGGTGGCCGGAGTTCGTACTCAGCGGAAGAAGCAGAGGCGGAGAGGGGAGGCTGAACAAATGGGCTAGGGTTTGGACGAAATCGGCAAAGGGAAATTTATATACCTCGATGTTTGGCGCGGCCATATCCGTCGCACAATCAGAGCCACACCCATTCTAGATATTTCGCATATGTGGGCGGTGTTGGCGCCGACATGCGACGGATAAATCCGTCCCTAAAGCGCTTCGAAAATCAAAAAATCGGTGGGGGTAAATTAATTTGAATTTGAAAAGGCACGGCACTTTCCGTCCCAACTTCAATGCCAAGGACGTTCTAGATTAATCCTGATTAATCTTCCCGTTTGGAGACGCTATGGGTCGGATATATCCGTCCCAATTGCGCACAAAACAAGAAGAGACCGGCGGGGATAATAAATTTCAAATTTGAGAAGGACGAGGCACGGAATTTGCCGTGCCAAACTGAAAAGTCGTCTGAAACTCTGTGCGGTCAGTAATTATTATGTCAGACTGGTTTTGTCTCGGATTTGGAGGGGATTTCTCCCTGCCTATTGCGTATATTGCTGAAGAAATAAGTTTTTGAGACGGAATTAGCCCATCCAAATCCTTGCCATTTGTTCAGCTTCTAGTATAAATATGGCTTGTTATAGAAGTGTAAAAATAGTTAATAAGTGAGAAATTAGAAAAAACTTTATTATGGAAAAATCTGAAGGTTCAAGTGATAAAAAAACATGGGGATGTGATTTTGATAAGTTGGGGAAAAAAATTGATACGATAGGGGAAATACTTAAGTTAATGAAGCCTGTTGATGATGCTGCAGCTGAAAAAATTAATCAATTGTGGAAAAGGGGAAGTGAAGTGAAGGCTAAAAGTGAAGATTCTGAAGTGAAGACTAAAAGTGAAGATGATGGTAGGAAGACACTTTGAAGAATCAAATAAGTGTATCATTTTACTATGTACTGTTATTATCATTATCATGTATGGTTTGCTTATGTAATTTTATTATCGTGTATCGTTTGAGTTTTCAGTAATTTTAGTCTGTTTTGACTAAAATTAATGTAATAAAAATGTCCGCTTTTGGCCTAATAAAATCGGTTTGCGTTTCTTTATTGAAATTGTTTTTTCAACTTCACCGTAGTAAAAACATGTACATTTGCTTAATAAAAATGTGCATTTAAACATTTTAATTTGATTAAATAGATGAGAAATTATCTACGAAATTGCATTTTAAAATAACTCAGAAAGAATTTAGACTAGAAATTGAATTATTCAGAAACAACATAGACTAAAATAACTTAGAATAGACACAATATACTTTCATTAAATAAACCAAATAAAGCACATCAATTAGAATAAAGCAATTAGAAATGAGAATCATGACACCAAATATTAGACTACAAATTCAATTAATTGGAATAAGTCATGAAAATAAAGCAATTCATTCTTCTTCTTCTTCGGAGTCAATCCGGTCAACATACTCATCATCATCAGTATCTTCCGTTTGAAAGTTCCATTCTTCTTCTTCATATTCAGTTCCCTCGTTCGGACCATCGTTGGCGTCATTGGGGTCAAGCTCAATTTCTGCTCCAGAAGAATCTTTCAAGAAGATATCCTCCTCAATAATGTCTGGAACTGGGGCTTGGAAAAACTCTTGTTGGTAAACATCAATATCAATGTTTTTTTGTACCGCGTGAGAAACAACTTTTCTCGGTCTAATAGTGCAAGCACTTACCCAGCCGGTGCGATTGATGCGTGTCGACGGATATTCCGCGTAATACACCTGGGCAGCCTGTTGAGCTAATATGAAAGGTTCATTCTTCGGATACACACGCCTGTGATTAACATCCACCAAGTTATGTTTGTGATCCTTTTTCACCCCCCTCACTGGATCCACCCAAGTGCATTTGAATAATACACACGATAACTTGTTGTGGCCAGTGAATTTCATTTCCAGTATTTCATCCACATATCCAAAAAAACTAGTCTCCGAATTGTCATAACTACAAGTCGACACGCTCACACCACTGTTCATAGTGGGTTTATTGTCTCCGTAAGCACGTGTATGATATTTGTAGCCATTGACAAAATATATAGACCAACACCTCACTAGTGTTTCAGGACCCCATGCTAATGACTCCAAGAAAGGATCAACGGGAGAATTTTCAGCTTCACGGAGTATCTGCAAATGTCATTTAGTTGTTCAGTAATGAATACTATAGAATTGATACTTGCAATTAAAAAACCTTATTGATTTACCGTAGTTTTGAACCATCCTGCAAAATCAGTGTCGATCGTCGCATCAATGACCTCATTGGAATAACCAGCTAGAGAAAGCATTTCTCTGTAATCACTGCATTTTTTTTATAAGAAAATGAAATGGTTAGAGTGTTTGTTAGTGTGGGAAATAACTTATTACGATGTTCGCTAATATTGACTTACTTGTAATACGGAATAACTTCCGGGCAGTTCATCAGAATGTAAGTTTGTGCAATTCGAAACTCGTCTCCAACAACACGACGGTGTGTCCTTCTACCATATCCTTTGCCCGGATAGTTGAAGATGGAAACTATTTGCTCATACAATGCTGGATCAACATTACCATTTCTGACAGGCCTTTTTCGCTTAGTCATGATTTCTCTTTCAAAATAGAAGGAAGAGAATGTGGAAACTTCTTCTGTAAGGTATGCTTGGCATATAGATGCTCCAACGTGTGCTTTATTTGTCACCTTCTTTTTCAGTTCTCGCAAAAACCTAAGACATATTTTACCAAATATTAAAAGATTATTTTATATTAATATAAACAATATATGAAACCATTTACAAAATGCATAATAATTTTACCTCTCAAATCCATACATCCATCTATACCAACTTGGCCCTGCGGTCATTGCTTCAAATGGAAGATGGACAAGTAGATGCTCCATTCCATCGAAAAAGGATGGAGGAAAGATCTTTTCCAAATTGCACAAAATAGTGGGAACGTTACGGTGAAGATCCTGAATTGCTTGTATGTCTAGCACCGGTGAGCATACCAACTGAAATAATTGAGAAACATCACAAATACATGCCCACACATTATTCGGGAGATTTTCCTTCAATGCAATGGGAAGGAGGCGTTGCATCATGACATGGCAGTCATGACTCTTCATGCTCTTCATTACCAAATTTTCCAAGTCAACACATCTATTAAAGTTAGAAGTGTATCCATCAGGGAATCGTAGCTTGATGAGCCACTCCAATATGCATTTCTTCTGCTCGTCCGAGAGCTGATAAACTGCTTTCTTGAATGGACCGACATACTCAGGGCCCATAGCAATTTCCGGTCTATCACAAAACAGAGCTACATCTTTCCTTGATGAAAGGCCATCCTTAGTCTTTCCCTTGAAGTTCATAACCGTGTTAAAAATGTTATCGAAAACATTTTTCTCAATATGCATTACATCCAAATTATGCCTAATCAGAAGATCCTTCCAATATGGCAAATCCCAGAAAATGCTTTTCTTTGTCCACTTATGATAAATGCGATATCCATCTGGATACTCAAGAGGCTCGTCAATGGCAGAAGGGATGTTTCGAACACGATCATAAATCTGATATCCTGTTAAAATCGGAGGTGGGGGATCGCGGTCCTTGCGACCCTTGATGAATGACTTCTTATCCTTTCGATACGGATGATTAGGTGGGAGAAATTTCCTGTGACAGTCAAAGTAGGATGCTTTTCGACTATTCTTTAGCCAAAATGCATTTGATTTTTCCATACAAACAGGGCAACCCATAAGGCCTGCAGTACTCCATCCAGAGAGCATTCCGTATGCTGGAAAATCACTAATGGTCCACATAATCGCAGCTTTCATATTAAATATTTGATCCCTCGAAACATCATATGTAGGAACACCAACTTCACACAAATGTTTCAGCTCTTCAATCAATGGCTGCAAATACACATCAATTCTTTTTTTTGGATTACCAGGACCTGGACACATTAATGATAAAAACATAAAATGATTTTTCATACACATGTCCGGGGGGAAGTTATATGGGGTAATGATAATTGGCCAACATGAGAACTGGCCTCCAAATTGACCGTACGGAGCAAAACCATCAGAACATAACCCAAGTCTAACATTGCGCGGCTCAAAAGCAAATTGAGGATAACACCTGTCAAAATGCTTCCACGCTGCAGAATCTGATGGATGACACATTAACCCTTCTTCAGTGTCATGCTCTACATGCCACGTCATGTGTTTCGCGGTAGCGCTTGAGGCATATAATCTCTGCAAACATGGTGCTAAAGGAAGATATATCAACTTCGATGCTGCAGATCTTTTTCGGGCTTTTCGAGTCATACCTGATATGGGCTTGTACCTATCCGCATTACAAAACTTACACCGGATAAGTGTTTCGTCATTCTTCCAAAACAACATACATCCTTCAGGGCATGCGTGGATTTTGATCATAGGGAGACCTAACTCAGAAACAAACTTTTTCATGTTGTAGTAACTATCGGGAAGACAATGATCACGAGGTAGCATACTACCAACTGAGTCTAATATTTTGGACATGCAACTTTCAGAGAGGTTATATTCTGACTTTATGTTAAGAAATTCAGAAACTGCTGATAATTGTGAATGATCATAACAGTCAGAATATAAAGGCTGGTCCGCACTTTTGAGCACTTCTTGAAATCTAGTGCCTAACACATCCACATCATAATATGATGAGCTTGGTCCTTCGTTCACATTATTGTGTGCGTTGAAATCACTATCCGTGTGGATATTTGGAAACGTAGAAGGACCAGCCAAATCATAAAGCATTTTTTGCTCCCATACCATTTCTTCATAATTTCCCCAATTAGCCATCTCATCGGGAACATACCTCGACGTTCCTACGTTTTGCGGCAACAACTCTGGCTCAATTGGTTCTCCTTGAGCAGTCCAGTTGTAATAGTTTTCAACAAAACCATGCGTATATAAATGCCAACAAACCTCACCACCTTCAACAAATTTGTTATTTTTACACTCTGTACAAGGACATCTTATTTTACTTCCATCAGCATAGCGTGTTTGCCCTTGTGCGAATCTAATAAATTCGTTAACTCCATTTTCAAACACTTTTTTCAATCCTCTACCATTTTCCTTGTAGCGGTCATACATCCAACTTCTAGTTTGTCTATTCATTGTGCCTGAGTATTAAAAAATATCTTAATGAACTTTTTTTGACAGTATATCTTAACGAAATTAATTTATTAAATTTATAAGCTAATGTCTCACGTTTTAAAGCTAACACTTGAATTCAATCAAAATAATTAAGACAAATTAAATAATACTGATAACAACTCGTAATATGGATATGATCAAATTAATTTAAAAGCACAATGGTCGAAATTTACATACCTTAAGTACAACGATGATACCAAGTAATATAAAGTAAGAAATCCAAATAGAAAACCTCCAGATATCAAGTAATATAACTTCCAACTTCTATCCAGAATTCATCATACACAAAGATCGAAGACATCATTTTCTGAGATGTAGTTTGCTTCACATCCCAACTTGGTATATTTGTAGATTTAGTAGGCACAGAAATTGGGACGGAAATATCCCAGCCAAAATGTGCATAACGAAATCTGCTCAAGGCGACGGTTTTTGGGACGGCCAAATTCCGGTCAAACTAACGGTTACATTTTGGCACTACGTTTGGGACGGATACCAGCCAGCCAACGTAACGGCTAGATTTTGGCACGGAAATAGGGACGGACATTAGAACAACTAAATATGATACGGGGTTGTCTCGGCGTTTGGCACGGAAAAAGTTGGCACGGATATATGCCGGGCCATTTTTAAAAAAAAAAACGTCTGTCCTTGGGACGGATACTCTTCCCTGCCATATTGTCACGGCATTTGGCACGTATATTAACACAGGCCAACTACGTGACAGTTTTTTCGGTCTTGTCACGGATGTAGGGTCGCAAATTCCGAGCCAAACATATTGGCACGGATAATTCCGTGCCATTGTCTAATAAATCGACTTTTCCAGCATTCCGTTCCCAAATCCGCGCCAAAATTGTCTCGGATTGTTTCCGTGCCAAAATCCGTATCTATAACGAGTTTTTTTGGTAGTGTTTGTTCTCTTATTGTTATTGGTGATTGTTGGTGGGCTATGAATCCGTTGTACCCTGATTTGGGGTTCTTTTACCCTCATTTATCAATAAGATAATTAAGGGTGGACTCCTCAAGAGGTCCCGTGGTTTTTTATCCTTCACGTTGAAGGGTTTTCCACGTAAAAAAATCGTGTGTGCTCCATGTGCTTTATTTCCGCTCGTTATTGTGCTTTATATTCTGCAATAGTGCTGATTTTGTGTTGTAATTTGGTTGTGTGAGAATTTGGGTTGTTTTGGGTTGCTTATTTAGTTGATTGTCTTGAAGTTGTGACATTGTTGGTATCATAGAGATCCCTTATTTGATCCCTACAATAGGACATGGTGGTGGTGTTTGAGGTCTCCTCAGCCTGAAGCATAACGACTACAACTCCTATCATTTAATATATATCGTGAGCTTAAAGAGTTAGTGTATGAAATATGAATGCATATATATGTACATATACATGTGAAAGAATATGATTAATGCAGAAGCGATGTAAAAGGAATAAAAAATGAACTAATCAAAGAACCTAATTGACAGCAAAACATGAGTTGATTCCACCACCATCAAATCATCTTGCTCCTTCAAATGGGGCAGAAAACCTAGCATGCTTGGATGAAGATTTCTCTAGGACGGGACTTCTTTCAATAATGATAACGCTCACTCGATGTATAGATTGTTTAATTTATAGGTGTTCTCGGTCGAAGAGTTGGATAGAACCAAAACAATAAGCACGAAATCGCAATAGAAAGAAAGGAGCGTTCAGTTTGCCAAAACATCCGACTCAAATGAGAAGAATGTGGTCATATGAAAAATCAAATTCAACCAATTCACCAATTCTAAGAGATACGGTGAAGAGATGAAAGAAAGAGAAGAATGATGAACAACCCACACACCAGCTTATTCTAAACCTGACTGATTGCTCGCTCAGGAACTGCTCGCTCTGCTTATATAGACCGATGCTGACTCCGATTGAGCTATTTAGCACCGATACAGGTAGCGGAAACGCGGAAACGGGTACGGGGATACGACAAAACCAAAAAAGGTAGGATACGGATACAGGGCCATATTTATAAATATTAAAAGTTATGGGGGTGTATTTATAAGTATTAAAAGTTACAGGGATGTATTTATAATTATTAAAAATACAATTTTTTTTTTGAAAAAATAGACATATATTATCCTCTGACGTCTACTCATTCATGACATTGAATCATTCTACATTTTCAAAAATACTTCGAAATAAGTTCATATTTTATCTCATGTACACTAGTGCATCTCGAAATATAAATATGGTCAATAACTCATTAATTTAAAATGAGAAACAAGTCAAACAACGACAATTTTGAAATTGAAAGTGCAAGTACTCAAAGTTCTAGAATAATGAAGATAGAAAACAATATTTTAAAATTTCTAATACATATTTCTATTGGAGTTATTAATTTCTAGGATAATTAGAATTAGGGATAGGAGGATGGGTGAATTAGGAATAGACACATTAGTTGTGTACCACATTAAAGCAAGGTAAAAATTATTTTAAGTTTTTCATTTTAATAGAAATTTATTATGTAAATTTTGAGTGTTTTTTAAAAGTTTTTTTGGAAGCTTTTTTTTTTAAAAAAAATTGATATGGGTATCCGTCAGGATACGAGTATCCGAAATTTTAAAACAATTACCAAGAAATGGAAACTTTTAAAAATTGCAGATACGATTCAGAAACGTACAGTACGGGTATCATTAAGTATCGGATACGGGAACGTCTCCGATACGTCGATACAGCACCCTAGTGAAGTATTTGTGCTTCAATCTCATCTGTGCTTCATAGGGATTGAGGTGTACTCAACCACCAGCGTCGATTTTTGGTGCTCCGCCTCAATGCTTTCACACTACAGTCAACCGGCGATTACGGGCGGTGCTAAGTGGGACTGATGTGTATCCAACGCTGCAGCACCCATTTTTCTTGTGCGCTCTCTCATCACAGTTACATTCAACGGTCACCTCTGAAATTGCGTAATCTACCTAAGATCCCTGTAATAGCATTCATATTTTAGGGATATTGTTAATTGTAATTAGTCCACATTAGGTACCTCCTCCCTATTTACGCTGTTCTCGCTATACTCACATTATTCTTCTAATTTCTTCCATTTTGGTTTGAGATTTTATTAAAAAAATACTAACGGGGTATGGACGGGGAATACCCATTTTATTTATATGGGTACCAGGACCGGTTACGATTTTATATATGCCCGCTCAATACCCGCCTCGTACCCGCCGCCCCGTACCAGCCCTGTACCCGCCCCGTACCCGCCCGTTTAGTTTTAGTTAAAGTTTGATTACCTTTGTTTTCCTATTATTTGTCCAACAATTGATAAAGTATGAGATCTTTCCATTCTACGGACTATTGCATTAGAAAATACGGAGTATCAAAATACACATTTCTGCAAAAATAATATACTAGAAAAAACGTCGCAAAATTTTCCGTCATAAAGTGTACTTTCTAGTGGAATTATGATTAATGCAGACAAATTTTATAGTTAATTAACGGACTAGATCGATCTGCATGTGACTAAATTTACATGACTAAATTATAATTTTTCTAGATATAATTAGGAGTTATTAATAGTGTATGGGTCTTGGTGATAATGAATATTATGAGTTATGCGTATTATGTTATTTTTTAGTACAGAAATTCAAATAACAAATTTGACGTAACAAAAGCATCCATTTTAACCCTTAATCTACGAAACAGGACTATGAAAATATGGGTATTACGAGTATTATAGTTCAAAATTAAATATGATTATAGTGATTACATTTACGTTAAATGTATTGTTGTAGTCACATGATAACATTATACTCCAAACAAATAGTTTAGTCAAATGAGAAGGGACTCGGGGGACAAAGATTACATAAACAATAAACCAAAACAAACACCGTAGAATAAAGAATTTCAAGTCTAGCAATTATTACGGAGTATTTACAGAGCAATAGCAATTAAAATAAGGCATTAATAGCACTGATATTTTATTACGTAGTAATTAGAGAGCAATAGTTATTAAAATAACTCTATCATATCATAGCACGTACTGTTATTTTATTACTGAGTAATTACATAGCAATAGCAATTAAAATAAGAGAAAATTATCATTCGTGTGAGTAAAACTACTCCAGTTTCTTCATATATGACCATATGAGTTTCTTTCCCCAAATATGACCTATTCGTGCGAGTAAATACTTTATATAGACTAAAATGTCCCTAACTTATCATTATTAAATCCTAATAATCTCCCTCATTCTAGCATCGGCTCATCCGCCTCATCGCATCCATCTTCCTAGTTCATAGAAGCAGTCGCCGTTGCCGTTGCAGGTAGTTGATGTTGTTGCAACAGCCATCCCTAGACATGGAGCCCACCGTCGCAGTCCATACGCGCCGCCGCCATCCCGATTCTTGTGTGATGTTGCCTTGCCGCGTTCCTCGATCCATCCCTACACCAACCTGCATCCACCGCCTAACCGCACACCTCCGTTAGCCAATCTTGCCGCCGCCGAGCCGTCTCTCCATACCCATTCATCTTCTTCTTTTCTATTTTTGAAATTAAGGTTTATTGAAATCAGGATTTTTGGGCATTAAACATGGGCAATAAAAATAGGCCGTGAGCATGATCAATAAACATAGCAATAATATGGTTGAGTATGGGAAGTGAATATGGCAATATGTAATGTTGTACATGACAATGAAGGAATGTATTGACGAAGTGTGTGTTGCACTGGATCAGATTGAATAGATCGTGTCATAGCATTGACGGAAAGTGCATTGATTATGACAAGTAGTGCAGTAATGTAGAGCAGTATCACCCGCATGAAATGCAATATAATAAATTAGACGTAAAATACTGAAATTATTAAATCTAAAAAAATAAAAAATAAAAAGAACTATAAATAAATTCTTAAAGTGAACGAGAAGAGAACTAATGTTGGCGGAAGTGCAGTGATATGTTACCGAAAGTGATGTAATGTCATGTAGTAATGTAGAGCAGTAACTGCAGTATAAAGTGTAGTATATTTTCAGTGCGAGTGTTTGCTTATTTGGGGTATTTTCGTACTTTACTTATACGGCATATCCCTGGCCGTTTTCTTCTTTCCGCTTTTTGGTCGTACGAAGGATTAAAAAGAAGTCAGGTCATATCTTAACAATTCTTCCTACTTTTATTAGTAATATATACGGGTAAATCTCCCTTAAAATAACCCTATAATAGCACTGTTATTTTATTACGGAGTAATTACAGAGCAATAAGAATTAAAAATAACCCTATAATAGGACTATTATTTTATTATGAAGTAATTATAGAGCAATAGCAATTAAAACTAACCCTATAATAGGACTGGCAATTAAAACTAACCCTATAATATGACTGTCAATTTAAACTAACCCTATAACAGGACTTGCAGCAATGGAAAGGCATTGATGATCCGGGAGCGGGGGGAATGGGTGCTATTGGTTCTATCAGTATATAAGCAAAGCAGCGAGTTCCTGAGCGATCAGAAAGCTTCTCCTTCCTTCATTCAGGATTCTTCTATCTCTTGATATAAGCTTTTCACTACCCAATATATCTCTTTGAATATGTATGTCTTGCTTATTTAGAATGGATGCTTTAATTTCTTATGGTGGGTTGAATTTGATTTTTCATATGACACCATTCTTCTTCTTCTTCTCATTGAGACTGGATATTTTGGCAAACTAAACGCCCCTTAGCTTCTTTGTGATGCTATTTAATTATTAGTGATTATTATTCTGATTTTGTCCAATTATACAACCTAGAGCACCTATCAACAACTCATAGAACAACTTCATTCAATCGAAGGATGCTAAGTCGTGTGTCTCCTTTCAACGAGCTTTTCATCGAGAGGAAATTCAAGTTCAGGCAAGCAATTAGGTCTGAAGACTATCCTCGGAAGTTCTCTTGTTCGGGTAAGAATGCTGGCTTTGGTGAAACGCACAAGGCAAAGGTCCATTTCAAGGAGCAAGATGATTTGGTGGTGGTGGGTGCAGTGCTAGAGACGTTCAAAATTTGTTCTGCTTCAGCCTCTGGTTAGGTTTCATTCCGTTTTGGCTAGCCTCGGAATTTCCCTTATTTTTCGCATAAATAGTATTCCAAAGTTTCAACTAGTTTTGCTAAAGTGGTGGAACTTGAATCGAGTCTTCGGTCCTACTCCCTCAATCCCATTTTACCTGTCCTACTTTTCTTTTTGGGTTATCCCAAAATAAGTCTCTTCTTTCCCTTTTTGGAAAGAAATGTGTGGTCTACACCATTTCACTTTATTATACTCAAATCTCAACCACAACTTTTACCTTTTCAACCACTTCATTAATAACCGTGCCGAGTCGAACTAAGACACATAAAATGGGACGAAAGTAGTACTAGTTTAATGATCCCGGCCCAAACCGGTCCGCTCTTGCCTCTCACTTTTGCCCAGATAAATGAGATGCCAAATTGGATGCCTCATTCTGAATTCTTGAAAACATAAGCTGCGTGTGAGTCATAATCTTGTGTTATAATTCAAGTTGAAAATGAGGTTGTTTCCTTATCATTGGTTTCTGCATTATTAACTGACTTGATAACTAAAGCTCCAACTAAAAGTTGAAGTATGACCAATATAGCGACCTATTAAATTATAACAATCTACAGGTAGTTCGAATTATGAAATTAGATGAGCACAATAATTACAATATATTGGTATATAAGCTTCAATGAGTAAAGTTTTTAGTAATTCGAGAATTGAAAATAAATATGGTCCACACCATAGGATCCATTCCATTTCTTGTTTCAGCTGAGATTTAAAGGAAATATTTTAAAAGTTAAGGTGAAAACTTAATGGTCCTCTGCTGAGAGCATACTTTTTGTTTTCCAAA